GCATACACACACACAGACGCGCACACACACACACACAGACCCACATACACACACACACAGACCCGCACACACACACACGCGCGCCTACACACACACACTTGTGCATACACACACACAGACCCACATACACACACACACAGACCCGCACACACACACGCGCGCGCCTACACACACACACTTGTGCATACACACACACAGACGCGCACACACACACACACAGACGCGCACACACACAGACGCACACACACACAGACGCGTGCATACACACACAGACGCGCGCACACACACAGACGCGTGCATACACACACAGACGCGCACACACACACAGACGCGTGCATACACACACACAGACGCGCGCACACACACGCGCGCGCACACACACACACAGACCTGCACACACACACACAGACGCGCACACACACACAGACGCGCACACACACACACAGACCCGCATACACACACACACAGGCGCGCGTGCACACACACACTTGTGCATACACACACACACACGCGTGCATACACACACACAGACGCGCGCACACACACACACGCGCGCACACACACACAGACGCGCGCACACACACACAGACGCACACACAGACGCGCGTGCACACACACACACGCGTGCATACACACACAGGCGCGCACACACGCACACGCGTGCATACACACAGACGCGCGCGCGCATACACACACACAGACGCGCGCATACACACACGCGCGCATACACACACACGCGCGCGCATACACACAGACGCGCACACACACGCGCGCACACACACACATACACACGCACGCACACACACACAGACCGGCACGTCACCTAACGGATGTGGTGGTGGTGGTGATATTCTGAACCCCTGGCTCGAGGCAGCAGCAGGAGGATCAGGATCATTCATTCATGCATCCATTGCGGGTGTGCACAACGATGACATCGCCTCGTCTGCGTCCGCGTTGCGCTTGCACCGCCACGCACGCAGCTCTGCTGCAGCACGAGCAGCAACAGCAGCAGTAGCAGCAGCAGTACCAGCAGCAGTAGCAACAGCAGCAGTAGCAGCATCTTCCGGCTTCTCTCGCGATCATCATCGGATTCACAGCCGTGCAGCAGCAGCTGCTGCAGCTGTAAGAGCGCGTGCACGATCCACCATACAGCACCTGGAAGCTCATTCAGAAACAGCAGCAGCAGCAGCATCATCAGCAGCATCATCATCAGCAGCAGCAGCATCATCATCAGCAGCAGCAGCATCAGCGGCATCATCAACAACATCAGCATCATCAGCAGCATCAGCAACAGCATCATCAGCAGCATCATCATCAGCAGCAGCATCATCAGCAGCAGCAGCATCATCATCAGTGGCAGCAGCATCGGGCGGCTTGCAAGTTCATTCATCGTGCGCGGCAGTGCGCCGCGGATGTAGGGCGAAGGCGAAAGACCTCCACATCTCAGCTCCACATTTCATATCCACGTCTCAGCTCCACATCTCAGCTCCACATCTCAGCTCCACATCTCAGCTCCACGTCTCAGCTCCACATCTCAGCTCCACGTCTCAGCTCCACATCTCAGCTCCACATCTCAGCTCCACATCTCAGCTCCACGTCTCAGCTCCACATCTCAGCTCCACATCTCAGCTCCACGTCTCAGCTCCACATCTCAGCTCCACATCTCAGCTCCACATCTCAGCTCCACATCTCAGCTCCACGTCTCAGCTCCACGTCTCAGCTCCACATCTCAACTCGCTCCACATCTCAGCTCGCTCCACGTCTCAGCTCCACATCTCAGCTCCACATCTCAGCTCCACATCTCAGCTCCACGTCTCAGCTCCACATCTCAGCTCCACATCTCAGCTCCACGTCTCAGCTCCACATCTCAGCTCCACGTCTCAGCTCCACATCTCAGCTCCACATCTCAACTCGCTCCACATCTCAGCTCGCTCCACGTCTCAGCTCCACATCTCAGCTCCACATCTCAGCTCCACGTCTCAACTCGCTCCACATCTCAACTCGCTCCACATCTCAGCTCCACATCTCAGCTCCACATCTCAGCTCGCTCCACATCTCAACTCGCTCCACATCTCAGCTCGCTCCACGTCTCAGCTCCACATCTCAGCTCCACATCTCAGCTCCACATCTCAGCTCCACATCTCAACTCGCTCCACGTCTCAGCTCCACATCTCAGCTCCACATCTCAGCTCAGCTCCACATCTCAACTCGCTCCACATCTCAGCTCCACATCTCAGCTCCACATCTCAGCTCCACATCTCAACTCGCTCCACGTCTCAGCTCCACATCTCAGCTCCACATCTCAGCTCCACATCTCAGCTCCACATCTGAGCTCACTCCACATCTCAGCTCCACATCTCAGCTCCACATCTCAGCTCCACGTCTCAGCTCCACATCTCAGCTCCACATCTCAGCTCCACATCTGAGCTCACTCCACATCTCAGCTCCACATCTCAGCTCCACATCTCAGCTCCACATCTGAGCTCACTCCACATCTCAGCTCTACATCTCAGCTCCACGTCTCAGCTCCACATCTGAGCTCACTCCACATCTCAGCTCCACATCTCAGCTCCACGTCTCAGCTCCACATCTGAGCTCACTCCACATCTCAGCTCCACATCTCAGCTCCACATCTCAGCTCCACATCTCAGCTCCACATCTCAACTCGCTCCACATCTCAGCTCCACATCTCAGCTCCACATCTCAGCTCCACATCTCAGCTCAGCTCCACATCTCAGCCGGCTCCACATCTCAGCTCCACATCTCAGCTCCACATCTCAGCTCCACATCTCAGCTCCACATCTCAGCTCAGCTCCACATCTCAGCCGGCTCCACATCTCAGCTCCACATCTCAGCTCCACATCTCAGCTCCACATCTCAGCTCGCTCCACATCTCAGCTCGCTCCACATCTCAGCTCGCTCCACATCTCAGCTCCACATCTCAGCTCCACATCTCAGCTCCACATCTCAGCTCGCTCCACATCTCAGCTAGCTCCACATCTCAGCTCGCTCCACATCTCAGCTCCACATCTCAGCTCCACATCTCAGCTCCACATCTCAGCTCGCTCCACATCTCAGCTCGCTCCACATCTCAGCTCCACATCTCAGCTCCACATCTCAGCTCCACATCTCAGCTCGCTCCACATCTCAGCTAGCTCCACATCTCAGCTCGCTCCACATCTCAGCTCCACATCTCAGCTCCACATCTCAGCTCCACATCTCAGCTCGCTCCACATCTCAGCTAGCTCCACATCTCAGCTCGCTCCACATCTCAGCCGGCAGCTGCGGTGCTGAGCCCCTAGACTCGGCAGGAGCGGGTTCCGCCTCGCCCGGGCGTCACGTCTCGCTGGCATCGCGAAGCGCTCAATACGGCTCGGTGAGCACACGTGGCGGCCTGGAACACAGTAGGTCCATTTGATCATCAGCAGCAGCAACATCAGCATCAGCAGCAGCGATGGTAGTAGCAGCAATAGCAGCAGCGGTAGTAGTAGCAGCAATAGCAGCAGCAGCAACATCATCAGCAGCAGCAGCAGCGGTGGTAGTAGCAGCAATAGCAGCAGCAGCAACGGTAGTAGTAGCAGCAATAGCAGCAGCAGCAACATCAGCAGCAGCAGCGGTAGTAGTAGCAGCAATAGCAGCAATAGCAGCAGCAGCGGTAGTAGTAGCAGCAATAGCAGCAGTGGCTTCAGTAGCAGCAGCAGCAGCGTCAGCAGTGTGACAGCAGCAATAATCGCAGCATCGGCTGTATAATCATCATCATCAGCAGCGCTAGTAGCAGCAGTAGTTACAGCAGCAGCAGCAGTAGCAGCAATAGCATCATCAGCTGCTCCATAGTCATCACCGTCATCAGCTGCTCCATAGTCATCAGCAGCAGCAGCAGCATGAAGCTCATTCGTCGCGCCCGGTAGGAGGAGCGTGAGCGAGCGAGGGGGCGAGCGAGGGGGCGAGCGAGGGGGTGAGCGAGCGAGGGGGCGCGCTGTGGATGAACGATCAAAGCAGCAGCGACAGCGGCGGCGGTGGCGGTGGCAGCGACGCCGGTTGGGATATAACCACGGGCGCTCCTCAACATCTGAACGTCGCGGTGCCGGCTGCCGTCCACTTGCTTCGCCACAACCAGCAGCACCACAACCAGCACCGCCACCACTACCACAACTAGTACCACCACAACTAGTACCACCACCACAACCAGCAGCACCACAACCAGCAGCACCACCACAAACAGCACCACAACCAGCACCACCGCCACAACCAGCAGCAGCTCCACAACCAACACCGCCACAACCAGCAGCACCACAACCAGCAGCACCACCACAAACAGCACCACAACCAGCACCACCGCCACAACCACAACCAGCACCAGCACCACAACCAGCAGCACCACAACCAGCAGCACCACAACCAGCACCACCACAAACAACACCACAACCAGCACCGCCACCACCACCACAACCAGCACCAGCACCACAACCAGCAGCACCACAACCAGCAGCACCACAACCAGCACCACCACAAACAACACCACAACCAGCACCGCCACCACCACCACAACCAGCACCAGCACCACAACCAGCACCGCCACAACCAGTAGCACCACAACCAGCACCACCACAAACAACACCACAACCAACACCGCCACAACCAGCACCACCACCACAACCAACAGCACCACCACAACTAGCACCACCACCACAACCAGCACCACCACCACAACCAGCACCACCACCACAACCAGCACCACCACCACAACCAGCAGCGCCACCACAACCACCAGCACCACCACAAACCAGCAGGCCACCACAACCACCAGCCCCACCACAACCAGCACCACCACCAAAACCAGCACCACCACCACAACCAGCGCCCCACCACAACCAGCAGCGCCACCACAACCAGCACCACCACCACAACCAGCACTACCCACCCACAACTAGCACCCGCCCAACCAGCACCGCCCACCACAACCAACAGGACCCCACAACCAGCACCACCCACCCCACAACCACCACCACCACAACCAGCACCACAACCACCACCACCACCACAATCAACACCACCACAACCAGCACCACCACCACAACCAGCACCACCACCACAACTAGCACCGCCACAACCAGCACCACCACCACAACCAGCACCACCACCACAACCAGCACCACCACCACAACCACCACCACCACAACCAGCACCACCGCCACCACCACCAGGAGCAGTAACAGCGCAAGCTCGCCTCCCGAGACGCGCCAACAGGCGCACGAGCCGAGCGAACCGAGCCGAACCCGACCCGAACCCGTGCCGAACCCGAGCCGAACCCGAGCCGAGCCCGAGCCTCTCCCATTCCGCAGGAGCTCTCCGGCCTCCTCGGGAACCTGCCGATGATGCGTGCTGAGCGGCCTCGCCATGGGGCTGTGTGACCGGGGAGTCCAGACGCTCTTCACGACCGGCGGCGCATTCGCTGCCTTCGGCCTCATGAGCATCGCCGTAGGTACGGACTTTTGGCTCTACTCGCGGGGCAACTGCCGCAGCAAGGGCGGAGCCGGCGAGAACGACACCAGTGTGAAGAACGAGGAGGTGATGACCCACTCGGGGTTGTGGAGGACCTGCTGCCTTGAAGGTAACACACACAGACACACACGCACACACACAGACAGACACACATACACAGACACACGCAAACACGCACAAACACACACAGACACACACACGCACGCACGCAAACACACGCACACACAAACACACACAAACACACACACGCACACACGCACACACACACACAAACACGCACACAAACATACACACACACACACACAAACATACACACACACACAACATACACACACACACAAACATACACACACACGCACACAAACACACAAACACGCACACAAACATACACACACAAACACACAAACACGCACACAAACATACACACACACACAAACATACACACACACACAAACATACACACACACACGCACACACGCACACAAACACACACAAACACACACACAAACACACAAACACACACAAACACACACAAACACACACAAACACACACACATAACAAAACAAAGATCCCCCGTATAGCCTTAACAGACTGTCGGGGCAAGTGCTGTTATCGAGCACCTATGAAGGCCAGAACGGGACACGAGGGGTTGGGTGGCCAGCACCACGCCCGACCGCCTTTGTCTCCCTAGCGGCGATGTTTATACACCGCACCAGGTACTCATTTAAGTCTGAGTCGACCTAGGGGAGGCCCAGGACCGGTTCAGATAATCGTCACTGGTGTTTGCCGTGAGCGGGAATCGAACCCGGGTCGCCAGGTTCATAGCGCAGCGCGCTAACCGCTACACTACCGCTCCCCACACACACAAACACACACAAACACACACACACACTCACACAAACACACACACACACGCACATACACACAAAAACACACACACACAAACACACACACACAAACACACACATACACACACAAACACACACACAAACACACACAAACACACACACACAAACGCACACAAACACACACACACTCACACAAACACACGCACACACAAACACACACACACAAATACACACACAAACACACACACACACAAACACACACACACAAACACACACAAACACACACACACAAACACACACACACAAACACACACACAAACATACACACACAAACACACAGCGAACGCGAGAGCTACAATAGGGTGAGAGGTATTTACACTATGAGACATCTCCTTTACCAGTGGTAAAATATAGTAGTAGGTTTTTACCCTTTAAACTGGTACAAAACTGACACCTTTATACAAGGCATCATGTTTGCAATAACCACAACACAAGCAGTCAAAATGCAAACAAAAAGAAACAACTCTGATAATGGCAATGCCAGTGCATATCATTACCATTATCAGAGTTGTTTCTTTTTGTTAGCATTTTGACTGCTTGTGTTGTGGTTATTGCAAACATGATGCCTTGTATAAAGGTGTCAGTTTTATACCAGTTTAAAGGGTAAAACCCTACTACTATAAGGTGGGAGGCTTTTGGTTGTTGTTGTTGTTGTCTCTTCGCGATTTCTGACTAAACAATAACTGAACAAAATAAAATCACGACGTTTCGGGCGCAACAGGTGATAACGGACGCTTGTGTTGTGCCCGAAACGTCGTGATTTTATTTTATTTTCTACCTACGTGACTTTACCGAAAGAGCCAAAGAGCGTGGATTCCCGCAGTCACGAAAGCTTCGAATCAGACAAACAACAGCCAAAACAACCAAAACAAAACCACGAAGAAATTCGCCCGACGATGTTGGAACGTCGGTGCCTCGCCGAAAGCGTCACTGGACTGCCACTGTGTGAATGTCCTCGTCTCGTCGTGGGATCTTGCCCCCCTCCAAACGCGCAACCGAGCCCGGTAACTAATTGGGGGCCTCTCGTCTCACGCGACGCGACCTTTAACCAGCTGGCTGTGTGGTCGGGGTGGCTGGCGGCTTCACGACGCGTCGATTTCGTCTCCCCGGCGTTGATCGCTCACGGAAACAACGCTCCTCATTGCAAAGGTCCCCCCGGTGCCACTGGTGGGCCAATCGGTGGGCTGTACTGGTGGCCACTGGTGGGCCAATCGGTGAGCCGCATTGGTGGGCCAATGGGTGGCCTGTACTGGTGGTCCAATCGGTAGGCCAATCGGTGGGGGCCGCACTGGTGGGCCAATCGGTGGCCTGTACTGATGGGTCACTGATGGGGCCAATCGGTGGGTCGTACTGGAGGACCGCACTGATGGGTCACTGATATGCCCCCCCCCCCGACAAGACACAAATAGTGACACGACTCCCCACCACCCCACCCACCCCATCATCACCACCACCATCAACGTGGTGCTCCTGTCACAACGCCCCCCGCAGTGGTTTCAAATGGTGGTGGCGGGAGCCCTCGCTCACTCGCGCACCGATGATGATGTCTTATCGGTCAAAGTGCCCTCTCCTTGGTGAAGAACACAAATATCCTCTGGTGTCCTCACCCCCCCCCTTCCTCCGCATCGAGAAGCAAGTGCTCAGAGGTCGCAAACGGATTTTGATTCCTTACCCGTACCTGTACCCGGCCGCACCAGGGTGGCAAACGGGTACCCGATACCCGGTCGGGTACGGGTAGCCGGGTATCGGGTAGGGTACGGGTATCGGGTAGGGTACGGGTAGCCGGGTATCGGGTAGGGTCCGGGTATCTGGTATCAGGTATCGGGTAGGGTACGGGTATCGGGTAGGGTACGGGTAGCCGGGTATCGGGTAGGGTACGGGTAGCCGGGTATTGGGTAGGGTACGGGTATCGGGTAGGGTACAAGTATCGGGTATCGGGTAGGGTACGGGTAGCCGGGTATCGGGTAGGGTACGGGTATCGGGTAGGGTACGGGTAGCCGGGTATCGGGTAGGGTATGGGAAGCCGGGTATCGGGTAGGGTACGGGTATCGGGTAGGGTACGGGTATCGGGTAGGGTCCGGGTATCGGGTAGGGTACGGGTATCGGGTAGGGTACGGGTATCGGGTACCCGATTGCGACCTCTGCAAGTGCTGCTGTAGGGTTCAACTTCCTGCCCCGTCCCCTTTCTCCCCCCACCCCTTCTCTCCCCCCCCTCCCGCCGAGGCCTATATAACCTAGTGCCACGGCAGCCCTGTCGCCTACTTCAGCAGTTTTGTGCTTGCTGGGGTTGTCCCATCTGATGACGATTGCTAGTTTGCTAGTGTTGCGATCGAAACGTCGTGGTCTATTACACTGGACTTTTGCAGCTGTTTTAGACTAATTTCAGGGTGCTGATTCCAAATCTGATCTCAGATTTGCTCTATCACATCTCATTTTTATGCTATCGGCATACCCCATTTTCATTGATTTTACCCGAAATTAACTCTGTCACTTATGATTGCAAGTTGTTGCGAGTCAGCGACTGCTTTAGTGTTCAGATATGGTGCTGTATTTTTAGGATAGTGTGCTTATAATATCATTTTATGTAGATATCCACATTTATTTAATATTTTTCTTCTGCAGTTTTTGTTTAAAAATTGATATCTCAAAAACCTGATGTGATAGACAAAAACTGATGCCAGATTTAGAATCAGCACCCCAAAATCCGTTGGAATACCTTATTCCAGAAAAAGTATGTTGACCAGTGTTATTCTTCTACCCACGTGACTTTACCGAAAGAACCAAAGAGTTTGGATTCCTGCGGTCACGAAAGCTTCAAGTCGAGATTTAACAACGCGCGTCTCGAACAGCGGGTCTCTTACAACCTCGACTGCAGCCTTGCACCCCCGTCTGGTCCTCAATCGTTGTGTAGAAATTATAAAACAAAATTTACGACGTCGATAAACACGTAAGGGCTTTAACACGCGGCAGGCTTTCGCGACCAATATTATTCATAATCAACGTTTTTGGGTTTAGATCGCGTTATTTATAAATGTGTCGTAACCCTCCACCACCCGACACGGCCAATCAGTAAAAATGTGTCACGTTGACAAAAGACAAATAGTTCACTGCTTTAGCCCCCACCGGTGTGTTGAAGCCACAAGTACTCAAATTGTAAATGTTGTGGTTTCACGCTTCAACACACCGGCGGGCTAAAGCAGTGAACTATTTGTCTTTTGTCAACGTGACACTTTTTTACTGATTTGCCGTGTCGGGTGGTGGAGGGTTACGACACATTTATAAATAACGCGGCGATCTAAACCCAAAAACGTTGATTACGTAAGGGCTTCGTTGAAACAAAGTTAAGTCGCAAATGTTCATTTGGCAACGGGCGCCGTGATTTGCGTTTTGGATGATTTACTTTCTTGGACGAAGAAATGTGGCCACGTCTCGCTTGGCCCCCCACAAAGGGGCATCTCGTACCCCCCCCCCACCCCCCCAGGGAGTGTGAAATGCACCCCAGGTTCAGAAGAAGAATAACTCTAGATTTGAAGCTTTCGTGACTGCAAGGATTCATATTCTTAGGTTTGTTCGGTAAAGTCACGTAGGTAAAACATCAAAATTAATATAACATAAAATAAAAATCAAGTGATGCAGCTAATCTGGCAGTGACGGTCCCACCTGATGACGGAGACTTGTGTTGCCTCCGAAACGTCGTGATTTTTATTTTATTTTATATTAATTTTGATGTTTTACCTACGTGACTTTACCGAAAAAACCTAAGAATAAGAAGAATAACCACCACCGCTCTCAATTATTTAGCTGATGCTGCTGCTATGAATTCACACACGCCTGCGATGATGATGATGATTTGGGCCACTGCGATGGATAGCGATAGTCACACGCGCAAAAGGTCGCCTCTGAAAAAGCGGAGCTTCACTTTGCGAATAAAATAGTTGAGTTTAACACGCTGTAGTAGTAACAGGGCTTTCGCGACAAATATTATCCATAATAGAGGATTTTTTTGGGGGGGGAGGGGGGGGGGCTTGATCGAGTGAATATCAATGTTGTGTCGTTAAACCCGCCACCACGCGACCACACAGCCAATTAGTAAGGGGTTTGTCACGTAGACACAGAACGTGCCGATTAGTTACTAGGAGAGCACACACACCGGTTGTGTGTTGGAGAGTAAACCCACTACAATATTTACAATTATAGTGT